AATTTTTTATGTTCTGTTAAAACACAGCAGAAGAGACTTTTTAAATATTGGCAAATTCTAGCCAATGTATTGTCGAAGGCTTTCACGGCCAGAATACAATGGCTGGTGTGGGTCTTCCGGGCTGTGTGGCCGTGTTCTGGAAGTTTTGTTTCCTAACGTTTCGCCAGCATCTGTGACCGGCATCTTCAGAGAGCAGGAGCACAGACCGGCATCTTCAGACAGCAGGAACAGTTCTCTCTGTGCCCAGGACAAAACTTCCAGAACACGGCCACACAGCCCGGAAGACCCACACCAGCCATTGTATTCTGGCCGTGAAAGCCTTCGACAATACATAAAACTGGACAACTTATATGCACTGTCGAATACACAATTTAAGACTTTGAAACTAATGCCTAATTTATCATTGTCCTTGACACTGTTATTGAACATAGACATTCTAATATGCTCTTCCTGGAACATTTATTTCCTGGTGACCCCCAAGCTACTGAAGATGTGGTCCTACCTTTTATTATACTGCAGGATATGGAATTCTAACATTTAAGAAAATGTGCAACATGAAAATATAATAGTTTTACCTATTGCAAGCCCAATGATCCTATAAGGAATGCAGCAGGATGCAATAAAAGCTGCCCATAAGGCAATATATAACTTCTGTGTTATTTCAGGCTGGACCCACATGAACAAACTGTTGAGAGAAGGGGGGGCGGGAACAAAAAATAAAGTTAAATAGGTAGCACTTAATTATGTCACCATTCAGGCCTGCTGAAAAAATAATGTTCTGTTAGGAAGAGAAATATATAAAAACTTACTTCTTAATTTTTTCCAGTATATCTGACATTTTCCCAAACAAATTCTGTAATCAAGAGACATAAAGAAAAGGAGTATCAGATTGGAATATGTATGTGTGTGTATGAAAAACAAGAAGTTGACTTGGGACACCCCCAAAATCGAACCCTCTACATTTACTATGTTATGCTATTTCTCAAATGATGTGGGAAAATCCACTGTGATTAATACAAGCTGCCTTCCATGGACTGTTTTCCCAGTCCAGTGCGCTATGCTTTCATGGCAGCATTTCTCCTGTACCGATTCCTACCTGCAGCTGCTAAGTGGAAATCCCAAAGATTTCATACCTGTGCTTTTTGTGCCACATCCAGAACAAGCTGGAACTTTTCAGACACTGTTAAATCTTCTTTGGGAGGTTCCTAAAACAATAAAAATAATTTGTCATCAAAAAATGAATGCATGGCTTAAAACATGCTCCCTGTTTAAAGAAAGGAAAAATACTCTGCAATAATGTTGTGATTAATCTTAACTATAATTTACGGAGACAAGGCAGCTGCATAAACAGCACTTTAAAAACCAACCAGCTTGTCTAGTGTTAAACTATGATTACTTTAAAAAGGAACAAAAGCATCCAATATATTTCTCGAAGCTATCCCCTAAGACAGGGAGGGGGGAGAATAAGAGTCCTAGGCTCACCAAGTATTATTCATTCATATAATAATAAATCATAATTTATGGTGACATCCAGATCTGGCTTTTGTGAATATACGTTGGTCTGTATCCAATGTTATCTTTTCACCAGTAGATTGAACACAGCTGGTGGACAATATTCATTTTGCATCCTTCTCTGCTCCATGTACCAAGTCCACTCTAGAAAGTTTGGAGAATTTGGAGCACAATCTACATCCCATCTTCACAGAGATAAAACAGTAGCAAAAGAACTGGAGATGGATTCGAATAATACCATTTGTTTCACATATTTTGCAGACCTTAATCCAATCCAAACTGCTTCTGTTAGATTTTCTGACCAGTATGACCACATGGATCATGCTTTTCCATAATGTTAAAATAGATTAATTGTCTGGAACTACTGCAACTAGAGTATTTGAAGAACATCTTGGTGTCTGATGAACTAAACTCATCCTGTGGTACTATGAACACGTAATAAACTATTAAAATACATGTTTTTAGTGTAGATATGACAGTTCTCTTAAACTTCTAGGGGAGAATTTATGCATTTGCTCTGTGTTTAGATTCCTAAATCTTATGCAGACAAGCAGGCTTGGTTTTGGCCAACATATCTTGCTTGCTAAATGGAAATAAAAGCTTATGACCTCAACCATGCAGCTGCCCTCAAAAAGAAATGACTGGACTAGACATGCCCTAATACGGGCAAATTATTTTAAATCATTGTTCAGAATTTCATATACAGTGGGGCAAAAAAGTATTTAGTCAGCCACCAATTGTGCAAGTTCTCCCACTCCCGTGTGGTTCTGGGATTTTTGCTCACCGTTCTTGTGATCATTTTGACCCCACAGGGTGAGATCTTGCCCGTGTGGTTCTGGGATTTTTGCTCACCGTTCTTGTGATCATTTTGACCCCACAGGGTGAGATCTTGCCCGTGTGGTTCTGGGATTTTTGCTCACCGTTCTTGTGATCATTTTGACCCCACAGGGTGAGATCTTGCCCGTGTGGTTCTGGGATTTTTGCTCACCGTTCTTGTGATCATTTTGACCCCACAGGGTGAGATCTTGCCCGTGTGGTTCTGGGATTTTTGCTCACCGTTCTTGTGATCATTTTGACCCCACAGGGTGAGATCTTGCCCGTGTGGTTCTGGGATTTTTGCTCACCGTTCTTGTGATCATTTTGACCCCACAGGGTGAGATCTTGCCCGTGTGGTTCTGGGATTTTTGCTCACCGTTCTTGTGATCATTTTGACCCCACAGGGTGAGATCTTGCCCGTGTGGTTCTGGGATTTTTGCTCACCGTTCTTGTGATCATTTTGACCCCACAGGGTGAGATCTTGCCCGTGTGGTTCTGGGATTTTTGCTCACCGTTCTTGTGATCATTTTGACCCCACAGGGTGAGATCTTGCCCGTGTGGTTCTGGGATTTTTGCTCACCGTTCTTGTGATCATTTTGACCCCACAGGGTGAGATCTTGCCCGTGTGGTTCTGGGATTTTTGCTCACCGTTCTTGTGATCATTTTGACCCCACAGGGTGAGATCTTGCCCGTGTGGTTCTGGGATTTTTGCTCACCGTTCTTGTGATCATTTTGACCCCACAGGGTGAGATCTTGCTCTGTCATCTTTTTAAGTGGGAGAACTTGCACAATTGGTGGCTGACTAAATACTTTTTTGCCCCCCTGTATATATTTATATGGCTCCTGATACTTTGAGATATAAGTTATAAAAATAAGACTTAAAATTTATTCCATGTTCTTCTTTAACTAGACATTATGTAATATGGTCTTTTATACAATGTTTTAAAAAATAACAAAAATGTTGGACAACATATGCAGTTACAATTTGATTAAAGTTGAGTTGATTAAAATTGTCAGAATAGAAAATACCTGATAGTATGATTTTAAAACGCATCAAAACATTCATATGAACATTTGCAAAGTTATCTCAACATAATTTGGACTTACAATAGGCTCAGAAACTTCAGGCACAATACTCCATTGTATTCTCCATCCTCTAAAAAAAATAATATTTGCATCAAAAAAGAAACACACAGGCTTTTCTATGTGGCTCCATAACAAGAGAACAGAAGAAATGCATTTAAAAAGCAACTTGTGTGGGTAGCAGAACATATAGTTTCAAATTTTAAAAACTTCCCTTAATACAGTCCTGACATCCAGTTTAAAGGGATCTCATAGTCCTGAATGTTCACAAAATTGCAGTGATCGTCTCCAGGAAGGGTTGGGAGTTTCTGAGTTTCTGAACAGCCCCTGAAAGAAGATCTTTTCCTTTATGTCCTAGCACTACCTAAGTAACGTATTTCTGGTATGGAAGAAATCTGTAACACTGTTTACTGTATGTAAACACTCCCTCAAGTCTAGCTCCACTCCAGTAACTAAATGGGGACATCTATGCAGTTTTCTTGGCAACACAATGGCAAAAGATTGGGAGACCAAGCCTCACCAACTGTGCCAATTTGAAACCAGCTCAGCTAAAGACCAATCAGCAGTCAGGACACCTGGCTATAAAGACAGGAGCCCAGTTGGTCCCAGTTTAGTTGCCCGTGGTCTTTATAGCAGACCATCTTGCTTCTGATGATACCAACCACAGCTGTCAGTGACATGTCAGGAAATCTGTTGCCTGGATCACTAAACCATGAACCCCAACACTGCCCAACAGGATGGCAACAGCTTACCACCTTCTTCTTCCAAGGGGTTTTCTCATCTCCCAGTCTAGCCAACAACCCTGGGATTTCCCTGGTGGTCTCCCATCCACACAGTAATTAAGCCCAACTCTGCTTAGCTTCCGAGCACAGACATGGTTGGCCAGGTGCTGCCACCTGCTGAGACAGCCAAAAAGCTAGAAACTGAACATTTCTATGTGCCGTGCAAAATTTTTATCATCACTAGATTTCTAAAATTTCTAATTCGCTAGAGCATCAAGGACTGGAACTTCTTATTTTGTTACCAATTTTAAAAATAAGTGCATTAAATAGGAAGACGAGATAGAACGAGAGATTATTTATTTATTTAGACAGGCTCATAAACCACTTTAAATTACGTAAGATCAGGCAGCATATACTCCAGTATTTGAGGCGTACCTAGTATTGACAACATATTGAAGAGTGATTACCTGGCTATGAGGTAATTTAGGGACAACCTCAAAATTGCTAAAAATAAGAACATAGGAATGGCCCAGCCATGCCATACAGCATTCATGTAGATCTACAAATAAAAGAACAAATAAGCAACACAAGTTATCTTTATATGCAATTCTTATGTTAAAAAAGCACATTAACAGCAATGGATATGAATCTTTCATTGCAATCCTACATATCTTGACTCAGACATCAGTCACATTATGTTCACTACGTAAATTTAAAAGCAAAACATTCCTAATGAAGTGTCATGTATCTATCCTGTCTTTTGCTCCGGAGCAAATGGCAGCATACATCTCACTGCCTCTTCCCATTGTTCCCTCCAACAACTCTATGAAGTAGGCTGGCTGCAAGAAACTGACTGATCCACAGTCACTCAGTGACCTTCTGTGACTTAGGGTGGTCTTGAACATGAATTTCCTTGGTGCCAGTCTAACATCTTTACTACTACACCCAGAGACCATATATTCCCATGTGAACAACATTATGGATTCCCATACTATATTTTTCAGCTTTTACAGAAACCAGAATTAAATAAAAATCTATTTATATACCATATGATTTAGAAAGGAGAATATAGTGGTCATTTCAAATAGAAGAACAAAGTAATGGGTATCAGACATATCAGGAATATCAACAAGATTTTCTGGGCTGCAAATATCCATGTGCTAATTTATAGGCACAGATGTGGGTTTCTTTAAATCAAACAGAAACATGCAACATTTATTTATTTAACAAATTTATATGGCCCCCCATCTCACTGGATGTGACTCTGAGTGGCATACAACATCTCATAACAGGAGCAATACTTGGCCAATTCAAGGGCTTTTTTAAAGTGTTCTTTCTTAAAGATACATTAAGTCCTCTTTTGTTTGGAATGACTGAGGCAAAGGTAGAAATAATTTTCTATAAAGAAACATTATCTATAGGTGAAAGTACCTAACATTGGCTTCCCCCCAGCTTGACTTTTTTTTAACTGCCCTGTCCTAGCTGTCCAGTTACAATTCATATAATTACTATAATATTAATATTCATTGTTTTGAATAAGAGAAGATATGCTAGCTCTCTGAGAAGAGAAAAGGAAGATTTGGTAGCAATTTGATGTAATATTTTACAAGGACAAACCATCCAAAATTGTGTTCTAAGTATTTATTATATTTTAATTTTTTTTTTTACTTGAAAAAGTACTGTCGAAGTATTTAATAACAGTCTTGGTTAACAAAATGATTTACTCCCTCATCCTCCACTATATCCAAACACACAAATCTTAGCAATGTCGAGAACTCGCTGTTAATCTGACAAAGCAGGTTATATGCACTGAATACAGCAGATCAGACTGATTCTAAGTCACATTTTCAAAGAAACCATGAATGTTTGCAAATATTGGTAATTTTAAAGATACATGACATTAAGATAACAGGCATGACTTGCCTGTCCCATAGTTCTTAACCTAGAATTTTACAAGAAGGTTAAATTCCAAGATATTTTTTTAGTAAAGTTCCCCTTCTTTACAAGCCTAACACCCACTTCATTGATTGTGAATGGCTTTTATCATTCTCTTTTCTGTATAGAACAAAAGTCATATTGTGTGTTGCTTGACTGAGAAAGAACAACTTACAATAAAGGCAATAGCAGAAGTGTAGACAGAATACCAGTCCGATAAGGCAGAAAGATTCTTCACAAAATTTGTAACAGGTTTGGCACCTCTCTCTAGGCAGAGCAGAAAATATAGATATAACTTTAACTACTTAGGAGTGGTTTACAGGTGACAATAGTACAATTCAAAACCACATAAGGAAAACATACAAAGACTAAAAGTAGAAATAGCTAAATTTTTTAAAAAATCAAATCAAATAAAAAGCCATTCAGAAAACTTTCTACAGATAACTCATAGGTACCCATTTGTATGATCTTCTTATCCATGCTCTCCTATGCTTCTTAATTAGGCAAGGCTCCATATGATTTCTGGAAAGTCACAAGCTGAATAATCCACAGATTTACATCACTTGACTCACTAAACTACAAACTAATGTACAAAACAACCTCCAATGAAACAGAGACAGCATGATAAAGGAGCTTTGCCGTTGTTTTATGACCTACTTCACACATACAACTCATCCCTTGATGTAGCAACTTCCTCACTATGAGCATGTTTATCTGAACCTGTCCCCAAATCATTCACATCCGAAACATCCTAAATCTTACTTGTTTGTCTGATCCCTCTTCTCTCACTTCTCATATAAGACCTCAAGGTGGCATACACAGCTCTCCTTATTTTTCCCCTGTAACAACTCTGTGAAGTAAACTGGCTGAGAGACAGAATACTGGCCCAATGTCACCCACTGCGGGTAGCCTAAAACTTGGGTTTCCCTGCTGGCAATCCTTAACCACTACACTACACTGCCTCTCTCAGTATAGGAGACAGCAACAGAATGGGCAAATCTATCACTTGTTTGCAGTGCATGCTCCAGGTCTGGATCACCTCTCCTTTCACGCTCAGAGTGAACAAGGTCTACTGAAAAGTCACTCATGCCTATTTGCATATGATATGTCAGCCCGTTACAGATATATGAACTACAGTCAGGTCCAGAAATATTGGGACATCGACACAATTCTAACATCCTTGGCTCTATACACC